GTTGAAAATTCGGACTTTGACCTTGGTTGAAGGGACCATTGAGTCTAAGGTATTTTTCAGTTGTAGGAATGTTGCTCTTGCCTTTTCAGTTCGTGCCTTCACAGGTGCATCAGATCCTTCTTGTTTGTCGATGGGGCCGTACAGGTACGTGAAGACCCCCACCTCTTCTAGGGAATACATGATTGACTCTTTCGAAATGTAACTTGATGATCTCTAAGTTGGGCGTCTGCTTATTTCCGAATAATCTCGTCTTTCATCATGATGCATCCTGACTCATTTATGCAAGTACCCCTCAATTTCCAAGACACAGCCTAGATAGATTAATTGGTTTGCACGAATTAGGATGTATTTTATGAGGTTGTTTTTTACAAGTTGGGATTACTAAAACTACGTCTGACCATCCTCCTTTACCTGAAGTTATTACTGACAGTAACTCTAAGAGGGATCTTAGGAGGAATTGATATAGGTAAAATAATTCTTACTTATTTAGGGGGTATTATTTAAGAATATAAAACTATATTATCTCATATTGGGTTTCACAAAACAACCTTATGTGGAAATATAAAGAAAGGATTTTTGTGGAAAAAATACTAATTTTGTGTGGTTTCTAAATCAAACCAAGTTACCATGAAATTTTCTACTGTCTTTAAGTTTTAAAGTTGACTATAAAACTTAAATGATCAGATAAACAAAACATTTAAAGGGAGCTATAGTTTATCAGAAAATCATTTTATACGAAAAGGGTTTAGGAATACATGTATAGTGTTTAATTTACTAAATGTATTATCTATCTAAGTCTGTTTATTTGTGACCATGGTATCGTTTCAAACTGTTGCTAGACCGTTTTATTTTATTCAGATTCGGCTCTCATTAAATTTAACTTATTTTAGAGATTCACCAAATCTAAATTCGCTATTTAAAAAATAACCCAAGTTAATTTGAAGTCAAGTTTTTCTGATTTCAATGTGGAGTTATAAAATTCTATAACGCTAAATCCTTTCGCTAATAAGCATCCAAATTATTACTTAGATATTGCCAATTTTGTCCATAGTATCAGTTTATAGCTTAAGTCAGTAATTAACTGTGTTCGTGGCCGAAAAACTCCCAATTCACAATCCCTTTTTATTAGTGTTATGTGAAAACTAATATTTCTATTCGTAATCATCTTACACGAGAAGCTACTGCTCAAAATCAGAGAATTAAGGCTATGTTGCAAAAACAAAATGAATTTCGTTTGACTTAATCTTTTGTTCAATAGAGTGAATGAAGGACATTTCACTTACTAATAATGATGTAATACTTTGTGTAATTTTGATGTGTAAGCTGATGAGTGACAGTATCTGAGATCAGTTTGTAAAGAATTAGCCAAGTTTGTTTCTGATATAGACTGTTCTCATAACTAATTAATGGTTTCCATGATTGAAAAAAATAAGTGTCATACAGATGGCTTTGGAGGATTTATTACTTTCGTAAGAGCCGTATATTCTTTTGAATATAGCTACTTTTCGTTCAGATTCTAATGTTTACGACTGAAGTGTTACTGTATTCGTATTCTCGTAAATAATATTTCACGTCAGTTATTCTTCAGTTTGTATTGTATTTATATATGGAATTTAACGAACATCAAATACACTATGAATAGTTGGTTTTCTGTACGCACGATAGAAATAGGTAAAAACACAACAAGAAGAAGAATCGTTAAATTAAAACTCAACCAAAAATTTCAAAAAGATACTGATATTTGATCCTAATTGTTATCTGTTAAATAACTGGTGTATCCTAACATTCAATATATAATTATCTTAGTTGCTTGAATAAGGTAAAAAGTGTTTTTTTGTAATGTCATTTACGATACGTGGCATTTGATAGTGAGAAAAATTCTAAATGAAACTAGTAACATTATTGGTTATTGTCGTCTAATAAACATTGATCATCATCTGAGAGTATCTAAACATAATTGATTTTCTCATTGTTTATTCATTACGCCAAGCAAGCAAACGTCTCAATAAAGGATTGAATGTCTCCTTGAAGTTGAATAATTAATGAGGAAGATTTGGAGAGCATAAGGAAAAACACCTCAAGAAATTAATATAAAGTTGTTTTTAATTGGACAATTAGTTGCATCCACTGTGATCTATTAAAATGAAATTTAGAATAAACAACTCTAGATCGTAGTTGTCAAATCATTAGGCATATTGAACTTTCAGTCATAGGTACCTGACGTAATTTTAGCTCCTTTCTGTACGGTAGATTTTACCGATACCATAATGGTATGGATCTATGTACAATAATAACATCAAAAATATGACAAAATTTGATCATTAACTGTGCAAAATTAGCTAGAGTGAGACTATATTTCTGCTGTTTGTAAATATGGTTGCATATAAATTTAATAAACTGTCCAGAATGTTCAAATGATGTTTAGGTATGTAACAAAAACCTCACAGTAACCTTAGTTCAATATTTTTTATTCATCTAGCTCGTTGTGACCTACTGCTTTCAGAATAATAAATCTTAGATGCGTCTGTAATATTTTGAGTATTTCTAATAAGGATTTAAAAATTTTTTTAGAACTTTTACTGATACATAACTCATTGCTATATCCCTGGCGTTTTCAAATCAGGGTCACTAGTTTTTTAAGGTTAGTTCCCTTCATTGACCACAAATTTTACCAACCCATTTAACCATGTATGTATTCTCTGGTTAGGTGTCGTCGATGATTTCCTTGAGAATATTCAGAAGCCGGAATACGAGTTTTGTTGAGGAGTTTATTAATAATCATTTGGATCAGATGAGCACAGTGGTAAGTGAGAGAAAAGGAAGAATGTATGCGTGTGAGCATGTCTTTTTTGTAGTACCAGTGAAAACTGATGAATGAATAAAATCATTAACTAATCGTGTTTACAAACAATGAGGCAGTATTTAAAAACTAAATACACGTATGTGCATGATGAATCAAAAGTCTAAGCCACAGTGAGTAGATAAAGCAAACATGATAAATTTAACTGAACCCATTTTATATGTCATGGAAAAATAATAAGGCTTGTTACAAGTTCACCAACATCTATATATCATGAATTAACATCGAATTCTATTGGTCTATATTTTGTAGCTAACATCTTCAATTCTACCTAACTTAAAGTTTATTAACTACATCATCAAATGCTTAAAGTAACTTGATTATTTCCAACATCATTTTCTTATTATGTACATTATTTTGACTGTTTACTTATCAAACTCAGATTACTAACACATATGTGATTAACAAATTTAAAGCAGTGAGTCAATAAAGATCGGTCTACTTTGTTGCCTTTGTTATTCTGCGAACAAATTTATATATGTTGAGTAGAAAGCTTGTGTATGAAATGAACTGTTTAATCAAAAGTCATTATTGAATGATACCGAAATTCAGATAATAATAATAATAGTGGTGAATGTTAAATATGACAAAATGTCCTCCGAAATTTCATCACTAAACAGAAATCAGACATTATCGGAAATATTCCAAGCATCTTTAAGGAACAGAGAATGAGGACAGGAGCTTCTTAGTTATCTATTCATCCAGACGTTTTTTCATTTGTAAACAAGACGTGGTCAATAGAACTAAATGTGTCTGTCAATAATGATAATACTATTTGGGCTTAATATACTCATTTATTGATAAAGGGTCTTGATCGGCTGAGTAATCTTTTATTCGAGATCCTATTGTTTTATACCAGCTGTAATGGATTGTCAATATGTCCTCATGAAATTTCTGAATACTACTTCATCAGTTTATGTATCTTACTTCTTCAAAAACATTTAGAACGGTTGACATCTCTGTTACATTTTAATCTTATTTCCTAATGATGAAAATCAAGTTATGATTAAAACCCTACTTTTCATTAGTTTGTCAGTGATCAAAAACTAATCTGAAGCCGAAATATACATTCACAACTATGCTAAAGTCATTAGATTATTGAATTATTAATTTTATTGTTCTTAATTAGCCAAGTGATTGGTTGTGCATTGAAAATCTTTCTAATTTTTTAATTTTAAAATCCTCATTGTTTGTTATACAGAATAACCCTCTTTGCCGAGGCTTATCACCTATCGAATACCTATTGGTTTGACACAACATGGTGCAGTTTTCGCATCTGGACAGATGTAAATTTCAAAGAATTCACAAATTCTTTTCTTCTTACCAATAAATGTTGGTCATCAGCATTTCTGTGAATAGTTTTGAGAAGAAAAGGAACTGATGCTTATCGTTCAATGAAAAATGTCGAAATCAAATATACTTATCCTAACCCTTTTTTACTTGAATTTAATGCCAACAAACTCCACAAATGGTTAGCTATATAGTTGAGATGTTTTATCTAAAAAGTAATTTTGCACAAATTCATGGTACTTTATTTCTGAATTAATTATTTACTTAAATAATAATATCTAGTGTCTTCAAGTCATTAGAACAAGAAAAAACTCGAGAGGCGAGATCGTGGATGAGCACTGCTGAATAGCCCACATAATAGGACGAAATGGTCGTCCAGTGCTTCTAGGTTTTCCATGGTCGTCTGATTTCACTTTACTGATGATCTCAACTATTAAAAAACTTTTGTTTATACATTCACTACCTGATTCTCCTTTAAATTCATGTAAGCAAAACTCTGGAGTGAAATATTATTACTTGTTTATTGGCATTTTGCTTCATTCTGTTCTCAGAATAAATAACACATTTGACTATTAAATTCAATAGTTATTCATTCGTTTATAACCTTTTAAGTAAAACTTTTCAAAGTTTTTGTTGTCAATTGAAAAAACAATTTACACGACATCAACTGGACGTTCATCTTCACAATCTTTTCTCATTAAATAAATTAAATTACTTAAAAATGAAAATACAACTGATACTGCACAAAACCAATATGCCCAACCAAATAAATAATTTCCATTGTAATTTAAATGTTCAAGATAGTTCAAATTCTTTCTAAATTTTATTCATTGAGATAAGGAATAATTACGAGAAAGATGTATCATTGAAGAAATTGTTGATATAATAGTTTGATTGTCGTTAGATTGAGAGATAAGTATTTTTCTGTTCTTAATTGTTTGTTTGTGTTGATTATAAGTTAATTTATTCAAATGATCAGTTGTAGTTAGTTCATATGGAAAATGACAAAGGTAGTCTGCCCAAACAGACACGGAACTCAACAAACTAATAACTGAAAAGAGAATAAAACCAGCAGTTAATTAAAAAAAATTGAGACTTTGTAGTTAATATACTTATGTAATTAGAAGTATTTCTCACTTAATTTTTACAGTTTGAAATGTGACAAAAGTTAGATATCGCTAAAACTACTAACAATTTGGATTATTTGCATTACCTTACATTTTCCGGTTGTAAAAATTAAAGACTTCAATTATTATTATTAGTGGCTTTATTCAATATTATATTTTTGGTTAAATATAGAACTCCTAGCACAAAGTGTTTCAACAAGTTTCTTTTTCTCACTTCTTGATCGACCCTTGCGATAAATGTTGAGTGCTCGCCAGTTGGATGTTAGCACTTCACGAATGGACATCTGAATCATGCACATTCTTTTTGCTGCATATTGCCAGCAACTACGAAGTCACTGTACTTCTTTGTAACTTATACAGATAAAGGTTGTAAACTCTTCATAAAGGTACATGAATAGTTTAACTGATTAACAGACACAATGATGTGTTAAAACAAACAAAAACAGATAACTTTTTGAAATATCCAAATAGTGAGAACAGGTAGCCCAGACATCCAAGCAGGCCCTCTGTTTATATACTAGCCTTTCCGTGAATAATAATGCTGGAATGGATATCTTTCCATCTGAGGAGTCCGAAACAGGATAAACGCGCGTCTTAGATTTCATTAATAACTACTTACCAAATTTATGCAGATAACATAATTTTGTTAAGAATCAAATCACGTATTATTTTGCCACCAAATATAAGACATTTTTGTTATTTGGTTTAATAAAAGCTTAAGAAATATTCTCACTAACGTTTAATAATTCAAAAATCCAATCAAATACGTTTTTGCTTCCAGTTTAATTAGTTCAGTCAAGTTTATAGCCTAAAAGCTCACAATTCTGGATTATTGTACTTGAAATTCACAATACTTGAAACTGTTCTTTACACTATAGATACAGTATTCTTGCAAACTTAGTAGTTATGTGCTGTTTTGAAACATGCTGTTTTATTTAGGGGATAGCGGATAGGTGGTTTGTATATGATGATCCCCGCATTTGATATGATTTAACAGTAGTTTGAAGGGAAAAGTTTAATTTAATTATGAGATAAATCAATAAAACGAAGTCTGTTATTAGTAACTTATATGACATGACCATGTTTTACACTCGCTTCTCAAATGAACATCGAACTAGAAGTTTCTAATTACTTATCCTCTATCTCATAATCTTCAAAAGTGTGGTGTTAAAAAGCTTCAACGAAGATAATGAAGTTTTAATGGCTTAAAGATTTGTGTCTCGTTATTATTTTGGATTTACTAAAGATAATTAATTTAAATTAATACATTAATTTTTATGCAAGCTTACTGTAAGCACGTATACAGCATTAAGATTAAAAGATATTGATTCCTCTTGACTGAATGATTGATCATGAAGCTCATATTGTCGTTCTAGATAGCATCATCAGTACCAGCCTAAAATAATCGAGCTAACGCAATCACCTATGTGAAAATTTTGATGGTGATTCCTTTATGAAATCTATTCTAATGTTTTTCTTTGGAAAAACAGTAAATCTATCATTATTAAACTACTATTCTTATGACACTACTTAAGTCCTTTTAGTAAGATAAAAATCTTCCCTACGATGTTGAAAATCATTAAATGGTGAAGAGTGTTGGAGCTCTTTATCTCGGGATCATAAAAGTTATCATATCCCAAAATTTTCATCCTTTCATCCCATTGTCATTTTAAAATATAATAATCTGAGTCATGGATATCATCATAACAAGTTAACCTTAATGTTATTTATCATGAACATCATAGTGTCAGTTAATAAATATTATCTCCCAGATATCCATAAACTGTAATCTACTGACAGTATTTTCAAGATTGTTGGTTGACGATAAAGATTTCACGATTCATATAGATCATCACATCAAAACAGTTATTAGATAAAATACATAAAATGAAGAATATTTCATTCCTGTCCCTAATAAACAGTGCGTACTAACGATTTGATTTGTTAGTTAACAACGTAGTTTGAAACACAAAGGTTAGTGGTTTATACATTTATTACGGTACTTTATCATAACGAGCAACATTTTAATCGTTCTTTTATTACAGCCGACACAAGACAAAAGTACAAGAATTGTAGCTGCTGATTTATATCTGTTACGTTTGTATGGAAGGGTATTATTGCGTTCACATTGATTTTCACCTATTATTTTTATTCATGAAATTCAAGTCTTTTATCAATAATAGGGGTATGTCGAATATAAAAACCGTTTATACATAATCATTATATTAAATAAAACATAAAACCGCTAGGTTACTTACATCCAGCTATTGAATTAATGAATTGTGCTGTTTTATACTTTTTCGTCTCCTTAAAATTGCAATATCTCATTCTCAATGCACCAATAAATGATGAGGTTACACAACATATTGTTCCAATTATTGCAAGCCAACAAGATGCTTCACATTTCGCTGTTTATCAGTAAACAGTAATGTAATTAAAAATTAATCATATGAAAATGCCTTGAACAGTTAGCACTTACATTATACAGTGAATGTGGAATAGGGGGAAAAAAGCGGTTTATTAAAATGTGATCCACTCTTCAAATAAAAGTAATGTCTTTATCTTCTGGTATTTATTATCAGATAAATGAAACGACTAAAGGAAAAGCATCATTCTTATATTTATCAGTTGAGATAAATTTCCATATTTTTATCAACTAGAAATAATCATTTAACGTAAAGCAACGTCGTTTCAAAAATAACAAAATACTGAGGAGTACTAGATATGTGTTTCTTTCAGTTACTCAATTAATCAATAGAACATAATAACAACACAAAGTGTCACTTGATTTAATAATCTCAGGTTTCGGGATGAATATAATTAGGATAATTCACATTATCCGATTACGGTATTTCACTTGAAGAAATTCAGTGAATTCAGACTCCAATATGCTATCAGTAATCTTACTGCTCCATTTGACAATAGGCAGTTGTCGTAAGATCTATTCCGCACCCTACACTACTAATCACGACAACTGATAATTTCAGTGAAAAAATTGACCATTTTGCTGCAACACAAGTTTTTGCATGACAAGTTTGTAATTTGTTTTAAACGATAATGCAAATCATTATCTACAGAAGTTTAATGTTTATCACTTAGTAATAAGAATATGTAGAGTTAAATCTCATTATGTGAATTTTTTAGAAAGTGTATATGAAATAACTTCTTTATTCTGTTAAACATCTAAGGGAGAATATATTGGGAATGAAATTCAGTTATATACGTTATTAGCAAAAATTCAATTATTTGTCGTCCTGAAACTTTTAAAGTATAGTTTACTCACTTTAAACCAAATATTTTTATTTATTTGGATTCGTAATCAAAACTCACTATATGTAAGATCCGTATTTAAGATGGATTTTTTTGGTTATGTCCTCTTGTAGTGAACGGAAACTCAGGTAAGATAAAGCAATTTATTGTTCCTTTATAAAGTATGAAAAACATGCATTAAACACAATGTTATATCCGGACGAGAATAAATGAACGGTAACCGCTAGTAATTATTTATGAGCCGTTATATATATTCTTAGTGTATAGCCATTAAGTAACTATACTATATGCATATTCATATTCCTTTTACTATGAGCTTATTATGACCTATTGACTATTATTCTACGATTTGCATTTCTTAAGATATTGCCAATGAGTTAGTAACAGTCCCTCATAATCACAGCCACTTTTTGACTTGATCTTGTATAATTGTTATTTTCTATTTTATAGTATGATGAGGCCTGATTTGTTTGTATAAAAACCCAATATGTCTAAAATATATGAGGCTGATATTGGTGATCTGAACTAAACCAGCTGGGTTAGGCGAGAAGTTACTATCTCGGCGAACCAATAAAAACTCAGAATTGACTCTGCACTGCTCATAACAGTTTACGCGTCATTGTCCTGATCAGTCATAAGAACATAACACACATCATTTGATTATTTTTCTTGACTAGTCCTTTACATACGCTTTTAATCCTGTTGATATTTCAATGTCTCTCTGTTCTCCTTCCTTTTCTCTATATTTCAACCTTCTTTTATTAAGCATGGTGTAGTATCGGTTTATATGTTAAGTCCATATACTTTATTCTAGTTACTGGCCAAGCCAATTCACCTATACATTATGAGTCATGTTTTGATCTATTTAATTATTTGCTTATTAACCTTGACTACCTTTTATATGAGCGTATATGGTGCACACTTCGTATCCTACTCATCATATGTCTGTCATTCATTTTTATCTGGCTATAAATATTGAGTAATGCTTGCTTATAGCGAGTTGGCTTCCCCGCCATCTCCAATACGCAATATTTTTGCTTCGCTCTCGAGTTGGCTTCCCAGCCATCTCCACTATGCATCATCTTCGCTTCGCTCGCTTACACTTGCTCATGTGCCCACAGCTTTCTGGTCTGCATCATTCATCAATAAAAATGTAGTTGCCGCTTCCTTTTGCCTTCCGATTTTATACACCATTAAGATTGGTACAATAACGGTTATCGAAGTGAACCATTCTTGAAGCACGGCACTACAATGGTTCAGAAACATGAATATGAGAAGTCTTTCCAGCTTATTTCAAACAGTGTGAGGGAGAAGTGGTTGATCTTTGAGCTTTATATTAAATTCGGTTCATTCAATCACTTATTGCTTGTGTAGTTATTTATTGTCATACTTGAGATATCTAGAATAACAAATCATTTTATTTTGATTAGATAATAACTGGAAAAAAATCTATTGAAGCTTAGTAAATGCTTTGAAATGATGACCTAAAATAAACTACTTAGTACGAGTACTGTAAAAGATTTCTTTTGTTGAAAGCTTTAAGCTAGTTACAAAATCAGTAACATTTATTCCACACAGTTTTTGTCTCATAACTTGATACAAAATTTTGCTAAAGAATGGAAAATAAACATGGAATATTTTCGTTTTTATCTATCCTGCGAAGGAAATCGACAAACACGGGGGAATCCATTCTCCCTGAACATGGTGTATTAGCTGAACAGGAAAAACTTTCGTAACTGTAAATGCGCGGCTATTAAAAACATTTGTAAAATATATATTTTTTAATAATTACTATACGGAGCATGTGAACTACGAACATTTTGAAATATTATGCAACTGGTGCTGTGAATTTCTTTAAAAAAACATTTGTGGTGTTACAAAAACTACTAGTATTGTTATTATTTAAGATATATGTATTCACTACTGTCGGTTCTTATTAATTTGTTCATCATTGAATAATAATAGTTCTTTTTTATTTCAGATCGTTAATTGATGAGAAAGATGATTGAAATAAGTTATGTTTGGTTTTTGAAGAATTCTTTGGTGCATTAAATGATGGACAGTATACTGAGAAATAAACCCAGAAGTTATTACCAAGGATGGTTGTCACTTATCGTCTGAGATCTCTATATTAATTTTCTCACGGGATAAACCACATATTATTTGCAAAACTTTGAAATAGTTATTCACTACTTTTTGACTGTCAGTAGTTCTTTGACTGATGTCTACTTTCGATGGGAATAATCTTCAGTAAACATCTGTACCTTCAAAAACTTACCAAAATAAACTGAATAACTAACTTATTCTTATTTCATTTGGCACGTTTCTGTTCAAAAATTATGCTTGATTAAATATTATTCACGTTTTTATCAAGTGATAGGAACAGTAACTCACCAATTGTAGTCAATTAACTACAAGATAATTAATCTTTCATTATGTGGCTTTTTAGAAGTAGATGATAGAAGAATGAATACAAAACGTATATGTTATTTTAAAAGTTACTTTATCATAATAACTACCAATTATGTTTGCTCACTAATGTGCATCACGAGACAATCCCTAACTTGGGATCTGGAAGGGAGGCGGAAAAGAGGAAGGTCAAATAACACATTACGCCGGGAAATAGAAGCAGACATAAAAAACATTAATGTTAACTGGAAAGAACTGGAAAGGATTGCCCAGGACAGATTTGGATGGAGAATGCTGGTGTGCGGTCTATGCTCCTCCACGAGGGGTAACAGGTGTAAGAAAGGTAAGTAATATTTTCTCAAAAGACAAATACCGGGATAAACCTTGGATTTTAAATGAAAAAACACCTAAAGTGTGAAAGTAAACGTTTAGAATAAAAATGTTAAAAAGAATAGTAGTATTTGTTATTTAACCAAATCTGTATATGGTGCAATTTTCAAGCAAATAACAAATAAAAAAATAATAGTTGTCTGATACTGTGGTAACAGAATTTAAGATTTTTAGGTATAAAAAAAATCAGATAAACCTGACAATTAAGGGATTCCCTATCATGCCAACATTAGTTTTGTGTATCATTAGACAGTGTGAATTGATAGATTGTTCTTTTATTTTGTTAAAACACTTGCATTCTGATGAATAATTTGTTATTCATGTTGAATTATAAGTTAAATTTCCTAAAAATTAATTAAATTCACCATTGAAGTACTTTAATTTTAATTTCATTATTGGTGAATCTAAATTAATACATTTAACAATAAATCACTTTTATAATGGTATTTCACCTGAAAATAAAAACAACTTAAGTCATCTGTTTGTATTTTCAAATATTTCCATAAACAAACATTCGTTACATTGTTAAATCCAGTTTTTGTATTTGTAGTTCGAACCGGAGATCTTTGAAACACAGATGTGATAAATGATATAATACAGGTGACAGTATAACTAGAGTTAGTGTTTTGTAAAAACAAAGCAGAAAATTATGACTGGTAGATATCAATTGATAAGCCCCCTTCTGAAAATAATCATCATGTGCTCACTTTTGACTGACTTCAAGAGGTATTTCCTGGAATTCTAGTGAGAAGCAGTGAATAATGGAGTTCAAAACCACGTCTGTTGTGAGATAGGAACTCACTGAAGACAACTGGTGAATAGTTGCTCAACTTCGTGGATCAGTTGAAGTTAGACATTAACACCGTTGGATGCCAGCTCAGTGGTCTATCGGTTAAGTGCTCTGGCTCGAGACTGGTAGGTCCTGGGTTCAAATCTCACGAGGTGGGGTTGTGGATGCTCACTGCTAAAGAGTTCCATACTAGGACGAAACGGCCGTCCAGTGCTTCCAGGTTTTCCATGGTAGTCTAGCTTCAATTGACTCATGATCTCAACTCTATAAAAATATAAATGTTTAATTTCTTTAATGCGAATAAATAGTAAATGAACATATTTTTGATGTATATTTCAAACAGATTAAGTATATTAGACATCTGACTGTGTATTTTCGTGTTTACTCTACTTTATCTGTTATATATATATGATTTACAATAATAAAATAACATTCATGGAGTAGATACGTTACGCAATAATTATTTAATGACATATCGATTAATTATTTGTAATCCATATTCACAAACCGAACCTTTGTATCCAAAATAAGTTTGTACAACCACTCTCGCTACCTTGGCCATCGGTATAGCGGAGTTTGTAGCAGAACTTTGGTGAACAATGATCTTATTCCTTCCATTTTTGTATTTTACTTATTCTCTACATTCGTCTCTTGATTCTTACATAACTACTATACTACTGACCATTTATCAAAATATTTCGTTAGTTCTTTCTTCTCTTTTATATCTTATGCAACGTAGCAACAGCTTGATTTTCGAATAATTACTCTGATTAGTATTAATCCTCTTTCTTCCAAATAATTAATGTTAGTTTATAATCGATATGTCATGATATAATTATTACGTAACGTATCTACTCCATGAGTGTTATTTTATTATTGTAAATTATATATATATATATATATATTAGTGTAGAGCCATGATGAAAAACATTTCTTAGTTTTAATTGAGACATCAAGGAATGAAATATCGAGTACATAAATATATTCAAAATAAAGTGTTAAATACACAATACAACAGTCGGTTTCTGAAATGTAAATCAAACTATTGAACTCAGATCTTTTAAATTATAAAGCAAACTTACTCAAATGATCTCGATTTCTATGCATATGTATTTGATCAAAATATTCTCGAGATATCCATGAGCCTCTGAAGCACACACTAATTAAAGCGAAAAGACCACCTATTCCAGACAGTAAAATAATCCCTATTTCCACATAAAATATATTTTTCCGATTTTTAAATATCATTTACCATAGATTTATTAACTGAAAATATTTAGGATGTGTATGTAGACTTTAATTAACAGTCAAAAGTCAGTGTTCAATCATTCCTATTATTCACTATTTTAACAATGAAATGTTTAAATGTTAAAATAGTTGTAGTTGCAAGATAATTAAAAAAAAACTTATTTTCTTCATGCTACAATAAATGGGATAATGACTGTGATCTATTCATTGGAATTTGATTGGTAGAAACTCATTGGAATTGTTTGATTGGTTGACACTAATATTCGTCAAAAATCGTCCAGTTACTTTGTGATTAATTTGTGGTTACAATAACCCATAGCGTTAACATCATGTGTAAAAATCCTTACAACAGAGAGATAAAATATTAACACACAAAATGATTTCAAAAGTCCTACACTGGCTTCTTGATATGATATTCAAAGAAAACATTCGAACCTAATAAAAAATAAAATACATTAGTTATATGTGCATATAGTTCACTAGAGAATGTTTATCCATTCGAAACAATAATACATTTACTAATATGCATTTACTAATACATTTACTAATACAAATAATATTTTGATGGTTAGTTACTCACACTAGATTGCATTTATTATTTGCAAAGTCTAATATGTAATTATGGGAGCAGTACGCTTTGCACTGAGCACTAAAATTCGAGATTTAAAAATAGATCGGTTATGACGAGTTTTAGCCTGACGTGGTCAATATCGAACTTGGAAATATTAAATCTGTACCCCTGTATAATAGAAGCGTAAGTTGAAATTATTACAAAAGTCTATTGTAACTTATGAATTGTAGAGAAACTTTGATTGTTATTGTGAGATTGACATCCTCATATCCACTTCCAAATGCAATAAGTTTTGCTGCATTTAGAAAGTGACGTTGTGACTAAAACAAAGTTTCAAGTCGATATGAAACAGAAGAAATGGTGATAGGTTAACAATGCTCAAGTTAATGATGTGTATGTGGACTCACGCTTTCAACAATGATTAAAATATTTAGCTCAAATTTACCAAAAACAAAAGCAGCGTTATGCCAGAAAAAACAAGAGCATGGAGTATTGTTACTAAACAGAAATTGGATATGTTAAGAATGAACAAGACAACACGGATGAAATTGATCAATATACAGTATATATACCAGCAACTTACGGAAGTTCGGTATAAGAGTGACTGTATTCCAACTGAGTGTTTCAAAAGTATTTCGTAAGTCTTCTCCGATGGTTTGTCAAGCTACTGAGGTAAACTAAAAATCCCACACTCAAAGCTCGATCATCAAAATATAATTTAATGTGAAAAAGAAAAGGATAAACTTTGTCATAATTTTCGGACAGCAGATATCCTCATCTATTGACTTAATCATCAGTTATGTTATTGAATTGTTTATCATATTTTTGACAGTTTCGCGTGCGATCATTATTTTTATTCTCCTAGTAAAACATCAATAAATTTTTTGACAGTATATTTGTTCCTAATATAAATTCAACATCAATCCATAGACACATGAATGTACGAAACGATACTGAAAAGAATTTGGAAGTTTCTACTTAAAGTTGTGACAACAGGAGTTCAACAGTTGCCTTGTCCTAACTTTAATGTTATAATTTCCATCATAAATATATTTTGAAAAATCTAGTTTTTACGGTATTTCGGGAGTTGAAACATAAACAGAGTTAATTACAACAAACACATCAATCATCCAAAGAGTATTTGTACTTAATGTGTTTATAGTTTCATGTACCAGAGAATATAAATTACAATTTACTTGAAATGTCAGGTAGAATAAGTCCTTTCTAATGTTGATGAATAGGGAAATATACAACACTGGTTTAAATCCATGAAGTCAATATAAATCAATGCTTTTGTTGTGATTATTTAGCTTACGTTGACTAAGTTTTGTTGAAATAAATAAGTTTATAAGTTACAGCGCAGGACTAACATAAGAAGGTAATCGGAATTAATGAATCCCTAAATTGTTTTCGGATAAAACACCACATCTTATTATTTTTTCAGTCCTAAGTATATTCAGCTCATGACTGGCAAATGTCCTTGTAAATTATTTCCCTGATAGATACGTTTTTTCAAAGAACATCCTCAGATAATCCAGTAGGACTCATCCATTCAGCCCTCCTTACCTTTCACGAGGCTGTGCAAATTAGTTGATACAATTCAAGGTGATATTTAGTGTTTTTAGTATTTTAGTATTTTTTTTTTAGTATTTTTTTTAGTATTTTACAAGAAATTTACATTTAACCTTGAAAAGCAGTCCAATTCTAAATTACTTTTCGGTTCTCAAAGAATATATCCCTTTAGGAACTATTTCAAATAAGTATTTCATATGTTTACTACTGGATCTCTGATTACCGTATTTCCGCAAACTTCTTCTACAAGTTAATTAGAACAATGAAGAAAAGGAGCAAAATGTAAGTTAGCGCTTTACTCAAAGGACGATTTATGAGGTTAGCTGTGAACTTGGACTTCTAGAACTTTGTGTAAACATACTAACGGTATAGGTAAGTATGTATTCAAAACCATAATACTTGATTTCTTATTTCCTAGATGTTTCTTAGAATGCTACTATGCAACGTCAATTGAATAAAACAGTTCCTGGTGTTTCTTTGGTCTCTAGAAATTCTGAAGATGGAAATTTTTGGATTTCCTAACGGGATTATCTTATAGCTTAAATATCTCACGATATTTAATTTTTTCATTTCAAAAGATAATGGTAAAAATGTTGGTACTCAGTTATGAGTAGACAATTTCGTTGTTGTTGATTTTAATTATTCTTCTAATTATCCGTGTATTAAGACTTTGATTTCTAGAAATTAAAAATACTGTAAGTCATCTAGGCATTATCCATTATATTTTAGGTAGTGGTTAACAGAGGTATAAACGTAAATAATGATCATTCGTTTCGTCTTAGTACGGGACTCCTATAATGTGGGCTCCCACTATCCTACTAGAAGTTTAACCCACGACCTTCAAGTTAGCTCACACCACTTATTTGGAACTACTGATCTATATTTCTAACTTCAGTATATCTTCGGTATTACATGACCATATATAAGGGCCACTGGTAATATTTGTCTCATCCTTCAAACGATCGAGACTCTCTAACTATAGCTTTGCATTAGAAGTCTAGAATTTGCCTCTGGAATGTAGATGTCAGTGATAAATGATGATTTTTAATGTATGGGATTGTGAATAAGTCATTTCACTATGTAAAAGCCATATTTATATGTTATTATTGTTTTTAGAAACGGAATGATCTTCCTTCCAACTAAAAGGGTCTGACAATTTCTGATTATGATCACTATTATACAAAGTATGTTCTTGTTCTTCAAATCAGTTCAAGAAATAATATTCGATAAATTGTAACTTCATAGTAAACTAATTATGTACAATTTGCATCAAACTTAAAAAAAGATTGAGACAGTTGAAGCTAGACCACCACGGAAAACCTTCAAGCACTGGACGGCTGTTTCGTCCTAGTATAGAACTCTTCAGCAATGCGAATCCACAATCACACCTCGTGAGATTCGGACCCAGGACCTACTGTTCTCGAGTGTGAACGCTTAACCTGCTGACCATTTAGCTGGACGGCATCCAACGGTGTTAATGTCTAACCTTAACCAATCCACGCAATTGCGCCACTACTCACCATTGTCTTCAGTGAGTTGAAATCTCCCAACAGACCTAGTTGAACTCCACTGGTCACTGCTTCTCAATAGAACTCCAGGAAATGCCTCTTGAAGCCAGTCACTAGTTTGCACATGATGATTATTATCAGAAGGAGGGTTTTGTGGAGTTTTGAGTCATTTTATAGTTGAAACAATTAGTCGATTGAAGCTAGACCACCATGGAAATACACAGAAAAAATCATTAATTTACTGACTGAACTTCAATGAAAGAGATTATATCTTTCAAAATAGTTGGAATTAAGCACGATTTTGAAATAAATGTATGTGTTTTATTCCTTTTTTTATGACCTGTTTGAAAATATGGTATAATACTTATTTGTTGAGTAGTCATCATAACTTAGTTGTTTAAAAAGCGCCAACCTATAGCTTATAAACTACCCGAAAAGTGTTTTCTCACCGAATTTCAAGGTGGTTACTTTTTTTCAGGACATCAGCCATCACTTCTTAAACCCCTACAAAAACAGATTTTCCAAACCTTTTTTATAATAGACTACCTAAAATGAGGAATTCCGGATAATTCTACAATCCAGCATACATAAACACTTGAAATTATTATATAGTTTCAGGGTTGCTTGTAACTGTATAAATGCTTCATCAGTTAGATACACAGGAAGTCCATGAAACAGTGCTTTCTTTTGTTATAGTGTCACCAAACATTTATTTGAAGGGAATATTCAGTGAGCTGAAGCCAAAATTGATAGTTTTGTCATTACTGTTTGCTACTCCGGTATAACATCAATATTCACGTTTAAGCATAAAAAATGGTAGAACATTCAAAACTTCTGTAAAGCCATCGATTTATGCATTGATTTATCCAATAATGCTAATTAGCTATCAAAAATGTGAGTTATTATTATGCAAAAAGTAGCTGAAAATGCATTTTTTTCAGTAACCTGATAATTAAAATAAACAAGTGAATATATATATATAGATATATATCAGTATGTAAAATATGTAAAAATTTAGCTTTCTATAACATATATTTTTTAAGTGATCAAAAACCTATTACTTACTTAATTACTCCAGTCACCCCCCATGGAGAAGCGTAGACCGCTCACCAGCATTCTCCATCCAGCCCTGTCCTGGTCAATCCTTTCCAGTTGCTATCCATCCTTCTCATGTCTGCTTCCAATTCTCGGCGCGATGTGTTCTCTGGTCTTCTTCTCCGTTTCCCTTCAGAATTCCAAGTTAGGGCTTCCCTTGTGAAGCGGTTTGATGATTTCTTCAATGTATGTACTATCCACGTCCGAAGTCTTTCCCTAATTTCCTCTTCAGCTAGAACCTGGTTTGCTCTCTT